GCATCGAAAGACGAAGACGATTCTTTAGCCGTCCGGGAAATCCTTTTCCTCCAGACCTGATTCAGTCTTTTTTTTTTCGACATCCGACGAGTATTTCATTCATCCACCCATCAATAGGTGGAGTGATGCGCTCAAAAATAAGCTAATTTGACGATCGTGAGCAGTCTCGGCCGTGGGTCTCGGCCTTTTTATGCCGAGTACGAGGCCGAGATCTCGGCCTGATTTTTAGCCGAGAATGACTATAACCGAGACCGAGACCGAGATCTCGGTCAGACCTTAAATAGACAGACCTTTAAAATACCTATCTCCCCCTTCGCTGAAAAATCAATAGGGGAGCCAATATTCAAAATTTGCATGGCATTTCCTGCCGGTGCACCACCTGGTATAATACTTTATTTAGATTAGGTCAGATTTTTGGGCTAGTTATCGGCCTGTTCGACAGCAACCTTTTTAGATCTTCAGATTTTGCATTGCGACTTTTCAGATCCATTGTGGTCTTCTTACATTCTCCAGTCCTATTCTTTTCAAAAAGTTTAATAATTTGAAGACTTAACCCTACATACAGCTCTTTGTCAATAGCTTTTCATGGCCTAATATAGTGAACAACACATTTACAAGATTGTCATAATATGTGTTACACTGACATAATATGTGTTCTGATGTTTCTTCTTCAGATTGACAAAATCTGCCCATGACTTTGTTTGTCGATCCCATCATCTTTAGTTGCCTATTAATCTTATTAGTACACCAACTACAACTTCAACAGATTCAGTCTTTTCTTATCAGGTCTACCGTAAATTCTCTCTAATGCTCTATGAACTTTTTTGACCGTCAGTGCCTTGGTCAATTACTCCACCATTCTAGAAATTTGTTGGCGATCCACTAGTTTGTAGCCATTCTTGTGACTGCTTTTGCAGCACCGCAGTAGGGTTCTAGGTCTATGAATGAGCCTTGTTTTATTTTGAGCACACACAATGTCACACCAGTCTAGAATTGACCTCTGTGGAACCGACTTATTGCTTACTTATTTTTTACGACTTAGTGCTGCTTGCTATTTCGCTGTAACGAAATACAACCTTAATCTTTTTTAATTGCATTTTTTAGACATTGTAAATGATCGCAAAATAATCGTAAAATAATCGTTGAAATTATACTTTTAAGTATAAAGTATAATTTCAACCACTAATTTATTCGACTAACTTGAGGTTCTGAATGAAGCTTTAAAATCAATTTATTTTTGATATTTATCATTTTGCTTGTCAACGTTATAAAATTACCTCAACATGCCCCAAAGTCAATTTATTCTAGTACTGCAATTTTCAGATATTTGTAATTTGTAATGCTAATGTGAAACTAAGAAATATTTCATTTGTTCTTTCACCATTTAAACTGAAATTTACCTTAATTCTTGGATGGCGTTTGCTGCATCTGTATTAATTTCACTTTCCTTTCAGCTACATGTGCATATTATACACACAGCATATTATAAGGTAGTCGAGAAATCATCAAAGGTGCTCATTTAATCACCTTATTACTTTAATTAAGTCATCCGATAATTTAGACTAATATGTGTTATCAGACAATATGTCGGCGTTTCACACGGTTTCTCTGAGGAGGTTGCTTGTTTATTTTAAGCAAATTTTTTATATGTATTTACATGAAACATGAAAAAAAGGAAAAGTGATGATAGAAACGTTAACGTTTTGTTACAAAGGATGTATAAATTAAGTAAATAATGAACAGTATGTCCCATATTGGGATTAGGAAAAGAGTAGAGAAAAAATATTTTTATTAACTTTTTTACAGAGAAGCACCCTTTCAAAAGTTTTGGGTTGTTTTAAAATGGTTATATTAGATTAGATTTTTGAAGTGGATATCGGCCTATTCCACTGCGACTTTTTCATATCTATTGTGGCATTCTTCTGATTCCCTTTTTGATTTAATCCTATCCTTTTTATAGTTATTAATGATACAAGTTCGATACGAACACCATAATGAAACGCGTGTAAAAGCCACCAGGCGTTAGCCGAGTGGCTTAGTTACACAAGTTTCATTAAAAAGTTCGTATCGAACGTGTATAATTCAAAATTTAATCTACGACGCGACACGAGGGTCGATCCAAAGAGATTTGATTTAATTTAAAATATCAGAGATATCCTCATAAAAATTAAAATTCAAAATTATCAGGTGCCCATATTAGTCGACGCCGTGGTAACCGTGCTTGTTGATTGTTTCCATTTTGACTTTGAGAACTCAATCATTGATGTTCAATTTTGTGTTAAACGTTCAGTTTTAGCAAAAAGCAAAAAATAATATTAATATGGGTAATTCTGATTCTGAAAGTGTCCCTTCGGATATTGAAGGCATTGCGCAAAATGTTGTCGATTCCCTACTTCCCGAAAAATCAAGACAAACGTACGAGCAAGCCTATGTGAAACTTGAAGATTGGTGTAAAGGGAAAGAAATCAAGAATAGTAGTAACAAAAAGGTTCTCCTGGCATATTTTGAACATCTTTCAAAACATAGGAAGGCTTCATCACTTTGGGTATATTATCCCATGCTACGTTCAGTTATATCAGTGAAGAAAAATACAGATATTAGTAAGTACGTCCATTTAATTGCATTTCTAAAAAGAAAATCGGAAGGATTTCGGTCAAAAAAATCGAGAATTTTAAGTTTTTTGTTGGAAGCCGATGATAAAACTTAGTTCCTGACAAAAGTTTCATTGATAGTGGGACTTGCGGGAGCCTCCCGGCCGGCGTATCGAGTTGACAAATCTGTAGCTGCAAAATGTTAAAGATGAAGGACAATGCATTCATGTCATTATTCTGTTTACGAAAACAAAGATATCACCAGATTTTTTTTTATAACGAAAGGGAATGTTGAAGGAATAAATATGGTGGAAATAGTTCGAAGATATATAGCTATGCGGCCAAGCAACACAGAGCATACTCGATTTTTTGTGGGGTACAGAAATGGAAAATGTATTAAGCAACCCATTGGCATTAATACTTTAGGGAAAATGCCGTAGAAAATAGCATTGTTCCTAAGTCTTCCAAATCCACAACAATACACTGGACATTGTTTCCATATATCGCCCGCGTCTTTGCTTGCAGATTCAGGAGTGGATTTATTAACTGTTAAAAGACATGGTGGTTGGCACTCAACACAGTGGCAGAGAGCTATATAGAAAATTCCAAAGAAAATAAGAAAAAAGTGTGATGTAATATTTTAGGTAACATTTCTGGCAATACTGGGTCTTCAACAAGTTCAAGCACTCAGGAAATAAATTAACTTTCTAAAAATTCAACTCACCTGTCATCGTCTGGAATTAATTTAACCAATTGTACTGATATTGTAATTAACGTTTACAATCAATAAACGTATTTAGGTACCTTTTTTTGCTTGTTTCTTATTTTAAAATTTGCGTGTTATTATGAATTCATAATAGCACTAGTGCTATTATGAAAGCCATAATGACATCCAAATGACAATGTTAAATGTGTCATAATGACATTGTCGTAGATTAAAAAGATTAATAGGGTTACCAGAGGTCCGGATTAAGCCGGACATGTCGGGATTTTCACTACGTCCGGTTGAGTCCGGGGGGATTTTTCATAAGCGTCCGGATTTTAATGTTTCATTAAGAAATGTCACAATAATGCAAAATAATATATTAATTTTAATAAACTTAGTTACTTAAAAAATCGTCGATAAACTCAGCAGTGTAAATTCATTGTTTTACTTCGTAAGTTTTAAGTTTTGAAAGTTGTAAATGTATTTTTTTTTTCAAACGTTACAAAAGTATTAATTTTTGCGACGTGACTGACAACATAAAAAAGTAATTATAACGGCTAGGCATAAAACTAAGGCACTTTTACGCCTAAGCACAAAAGTACGAAATATATTAAAACTGACATAGTGTCAAATTCAACGTGCGTAGCCATAGTTTCTCGATATACGTATAATTACTTACAACACATTACTTTTTTTATATTATTTGGAACGTTTAAAATTGTTTTAAATTATTTGTGGCGTTTGAAAAAAAATATGTTCTATTCGGAGTAATTTTTTTTTGAGCATCGCCTGTTTGTCAAACGTCCACTCCACAGCCTCGTCACAAAGACTGCTTTTTCAGCACCGAAGTTGGGTTCTAGGCCTATAAATGGCATTGATGAGCTTTATTTTACATTGTCATCTGCCTTTTTGTTACCCTTGTTGTGGTCTGAATTTTTGTGACCCTCGTGAATACCACGGTACTCAGGCTAATCTAACGTTTTTATGTTCAGAAAATTTATATGGTACTATATACTATTTATTATGATTATTAAATTGGAATTAAAATATGGCTCTAAAAATATTAAATTGGTATTAAGAAGTCTTTAATAAATAGTATAATATGTCGTAGTCTCATAGTGTATTCCGTCTTTTCATGAAGAGAATAGTAACTTAATGAAAAAAACTAACCTAATAACATAACTAGCCTGCTAACCTAACCGACGCTTCATGAATTGATTAGGCTCTTCTTGAAAATACGGAATACACTATGAGACTACGACATATATAAATTGGATTGATAATTTAGTGTTATAGGTAAAATAATCAATCCAATTACGCTAGTGTCAAAGTGCTGAACTGAAAAACAAATGAAAGAACTGTATATTTCTTTTCCTGGTCCTTTAAGTAATTGTCCGGCCAAATTATCGCCGGTAGTGCCAGTTACGATTCTTGTTTTTATGAAACGTAAATTGTGCATGTGGTTTCAAATGAACGAATCGTAGGAGTCGATTCAATATGAGAAATTGAATCGTGTGATTCGATTCACTAAAAAGAATCGTAATGCCCATCACTAGACTGATTATACTATGACACACGGACGTCCGCTAATAACTTCCATTTTCCCCATAGACCAGACGTCACGGCATTTACCTGTATTTTCGCTAAAGCTTCGACCAAACCACGTGCATGGCCGCCTAACGTCAGTCGATTGTCGATGGTTTCGCGCGCGAGGTAGCTGCCGCGGCCTCCTAGACGAATGCCACCGTTGCGGCACCCGATTCGCGCTTGTTTGTGGAGTCGGATATCAGTTTAAACAATTTAGTTAATTGTATATGCAGTTTTTTCGGGAATATTCTGAAAAATCGTTATTAGAGTGCCATAAGGTTTTTTTTGAAAAAAGTGTTCAAGGTGATTTAATAAATAAACTGTCTTCTTTTATGATATGCATTTTTGGGATTTATGTATTTGTAGATAGAAATGGTAGGTTAAAGTGACGTGTTTTGAATTTCTAGATTGATATTGCTGTAAAATATGGATACATGGGCAATGAACAAGAGTTTTTTCCATACCACTACATTTTAAAAAATAAGCTACTCAAAACAATTATCTCATATTTTCTAAAAAAAAAATATTAATTTGAAAAACAAGACACTTTGAATTATCTGACTTTACGATTTTAAATAGTTTGAATACTTTGAAGTGAAATTCGAAACAATAAGCCGACCCGTTGAACTGTAAATTTTAGTCGGCCGACTATTTAGTTGCAAAAGTGCAACCAATACATACTTATGGAGCCGATCGGCCGACTATTTGATTGCATGTGCGCGCGGCTTCATAAGGATATATTGGTTACAAATTGCTAGCGTTCAGCGTATAGCCTAAGGCTACGCAATGCAATCAAACATTGGGCAGATCGGCTCTATAAGAATGTATTGTTTTCACTTTTGCAACTAAATAGTCGGCCGACTAAAAATTACATGTCAGTGCGTACCTTAATTATTATAAAAAACTCACAAGAGAAATTCAGAAAGGTGCATGCTTCATTTAGAAATATGTAATAATTACTTTTATTCAAATATTCGATAATTGTTTTGAGTATAGTATATTTAGATAGAATTCAAAATAAAAAAAATTGAATTGTTCATAATATATTAAAAATATAAATTTTAGTCAATCTAATTTATTCAGTCTAATTTAGTTTTTATTCACACCCTATTATTGCTATTTTAAAGGATACTAAGTTTGATTGGTTTTATGTATTGCCGTTTGTAGATAGATATATAATATACACTATACAAAATAAAATATAATATACAAATACAATTTTTTACCAGAGTTTTCATGGAATTGGTTCATTAAACCTTTTTTAAAATATCTTTCTCATTTTGCTACTGATTGAACTAGAAGTGATAGCATAATAATATTGTCAGTCATAAATAACAATAGGTGTCATAATAGTGATGGGCATATGGAAGACAAAGATTCCCTTGCTGTTGGTCTCGGTCTTGAAGCAGTTTTGATCTGGGTCTTGCGGGATCCAATCGTGATCATGGTCTTTCTTTCGCCGCAAGACTCTTGCAAGTCTTGCACTTTTTTATACAGGGTGAGTTTCCTACGATGTTCTCTATGGGTATCTCGGAAACTACTGAAGATAGAGAGTCGGTTAAATGGGGAAAGAATTGCAGTTTTGTAGGATCATAAATATGCGCCTTTTAGATTTTTGAAAAAGTTTATAGCTTACTAGATATTTCGAATAAAACAAATTTCGGCTATTTTAAAAATTATCCCTAATTCTATTATAATCTATTTTAGACAAAAAGTTTTCAGATAAAAGTTGTAGATAATCACATCCTTAATAAGACTGCCCTCCGCTTTTTTCTAAAGCCTATCATTTTTGACATATGATACAAACATAATGTTTTTTTTTAAATGGAAACCATAGTTGGCCATGACATCATAAAAAGCGCCATTTTTAAGCTTTTTAGCGATATAAGCTATAATATGTTTTTTTTTCGAAAAATTACTGAGTTATAGCCAATTCTTATCATTTTTAAACAATTTCACTTAGTTAGCCATGCATGGAAACAAGTTTAATCGCCGTTGCTCTCAGAAATGTGAAACTGTCACATTCAAACTTTGTAAATTAAAATAAAAATTGTAAATTTTTCAAATGAAGAGAAGCGTGTCAGTAGAGTCGTTCACTCATGACAGTTCAACATGTCGTTCAGTAGAACTCGCGCATCAATAGAGTCGTTCCAATATGACTTTCAATATGACCCCCCCCCCATAATGAAAGAAATGTTAAAAATTATTTATATCATAATTATGTAAACTCAAGGATATGAAGAGGTGGACCAATTTCATGGGCCTCCTCCTATCACTTGATTTTAGATTTTTTTATGCGGTATGGTTAACAATAAGGTTTACAAATAACTTATGAATTAAGAGAGGCACACGAAGTGTGGCGGTACGAGAGAAGTTTAATTAAGTCGACCGGTCCTTTTGTGAGAATAGGTAATAATTCAGTTTTAAAAAGATGCAACTCAAAACAACGGCGGATCTTTTGAACATTTTATAAAATAACTTAAAGTGTATGTAGTGATATTATTTTTTTAAATTTTAGTTTGTCTAATGTAAATTGTAAAGAAATATTCTGACTTTTTATAAGTTATAAATCATAACAGAATAAGAATAACATGCAATCTAAGTAAAATTAGTCAAGAAAGTTAAGAATTGGCTATAACTAAATTTAACTTTTCTAACATATCTTGAAAACCGTTCTCTAAAAAACATAACATTGACCGGTCAACGTATCCTCGAAAATGTATGGTCAAGAAAAGTTGAACCAATAATCATACACGCTTTTCTTCATTTGAAAAATTCATATTTACAATTTTTGTTTATTTTAAAATGTGACAGTTTCACATTTCTGAGAGCAAAGACGATTAAACTTGTTTCCATGGCTAACTAAATGAAATTGTCTAAAAATCATAAGAATTGGCTATAACTCAGTAATTTTTCGAAGAAAACATATTATAGCTTATATCGCTGAAAAGCTTTAAAAATGGCGCTTTTTATGACGTCATGGCCAACTATGGTTTCCATTTAAAAAAAACATATGTTTGTGTCAAATGTCAAAAATGACAGGCTTTAGAAAAAAGCGAAGGGCACAATATCATTAAGGATGTGATTATCTACAACTTTTATCTGAAAATGTTTTGTCTAAAATAGCTTATAATGGAATTAGGGACAATTTTTAAAATAGCCAAAATTTGTTTTTTTCGAAATATCTAGTAAGCCATGAACTTTTTCAAAAATCTGAAAGGAGCATATTTGTGACCCCACAAAACTGCAATTCTTTCCCCATTTAACCGACTCTTTATCTCCAGTAGTTTCCGAGATACCCATAGAGAACATCGTAGGAAACTCACTCTGTATATTTTACTAGCAGATATACTGTCTACAAAGAAAATCATTAAATAATTAATCTTTCAAGTACTTAAATGAAAGTTTAAAGAAAGGAGCAACATTTCATAAAAAAAATAATATTGTATATTGAATCAGCAACGCTGCTTTTATAATTATTATTCTTTACTATGGCTTTTTATGCAAGACCAAAACCAAAAGCGAGTCCCTCTCATTAATTTTAAACGAAACATGCTCTGTATTTTTTGATTTTTGAACTATTCTACATGAGATTTTCAACACATTTTCTGTATAATATCATGTACCATTTCCCTAAGTTTTGTCCTTTCTGAAGTATGTAATACCGATTTTATGTCAAATGTGATATTTGCAGAGCGAAAGAATATTTTTCGCATCGATGCGCTATATTGCATAAATTTCTGTTGCTTGTCTTTTAGAAAATATTTTACTTTACATTTTTTTCAATTAATTTGAAAGCCGAGTGCAAGAGAAGCTTCACTGAATTTGATGAATGTATATTAATTAAATTAAAAATTCTCAAAAAACTTTGGTATATATGTATAATCAATTAGACATTTAATTATATTAGACTGTCTGAAACCAAACTTTACTTCACTGAACCATCTTTATAAAAACATTATAAACTTTATAAATGTAAAATTGCAATTTTACACTAAACCGTTACACCGCGCCAAATCCTTTTAACCAAGTCTTATTTGTCAATGAATCTTGCAGTCTGTTCGAAAAAAAAAAAAAGTTATTCATAAATTAAAATAAGACGACCATCACTTAAGAGCGTTGAACTACAAAGGAAGCTACCGCAAATCTGCGAACGTTTTGTTGGCCATTGTTAATAATAAATTAAATTTTGTCCACGTTCTGGTGAGGCTCTTACCGGATTTAGTTTAGCGCTAGTCATAAATCGGTTATGTTTACAGCGTTTTCGTTCTAACCAGTACCTATATCTCTGTTAAATATTTTGATAGTATCCCACAACTGGTTCATTAAAAGTTTAAAAACAAATTTCTATGTCTACACCCAGTCTCATATCCCTGTACCCTGCTTGTGCAGGTCCTTTGTAGGATGGGACCATTGTTTTTCCGGTTCTAGCCTTGCTGTTCCAAATAGAAAGTGTCGCGTGCGATTCAAAGCCTCCCAGTGACATACATACCGTGCTGGCAACTGTTATTTTTGGGTCGGCATTTATATGTGTAGAAGTAAATCGCATAGGGATCTTATTAAGTCGGAGTGAGAGAAATGCAACCGACCAACGCGACGCGCGACGGTGTGTTGTTGCGGCGTTGCCGATACGCCTTTCCCTATCAAGTACAGTAAAATCACGATCGCAAACCGATTATTTTTAAAAGACTTTTTTTTTCAAGAGATAACTAGATAAAATCATTAATCATGTTTCTAAGCATCTGAAATGGAATTATAAGGATATCGTTAGGGTGTCATTTTTTTTATAACGAGAAAACGTCAGTAATCGCGATAATTTAAAAACTCAACTTTTTAACACATAACAGGTCATAACTCAAGAACCACTTTAGATATTGAAACTTTTTTTTTATTTTCAAATCGGATATTTTACAATATGTTTACATAAGAAAAATTCGATAAGGTTGTTTTTTCCATTCAAAAATTGTAAACAATCCATCCGTTTATTTTTAGAGCATAGCAATTTTCAGTAATCGTGTAATTTTTTTATTTATAAAGATTTTCACATACTGCCTACAAAGAAAATACAGCAGAAATATTAACAAAGATCTTGAAAAAACTACAATCTATTATTTCTAATAGATTTCGAGATATCGATTTTTGAATTCAGAGTTCTAATAGCGCGACCACTATCGAACACCCACTCAATTCCACTTATTTTTACCAAAAATGCAAGTGATTCTAGCTTGCACTTAAAAAAATTCAAGCTATAGGGAAAATTACAACGACTCGTTAATAAATAAACAAATTAAGTATCACGAGACGTAATTAAATCGTGAAGCTGAACGCATGACGTACACCTTTCCCTAGAACTTTAAGTACTGACAGAGGTATTG